ATCGATTTCTTGAGGCTACTAATAAATAAAAGACCGATCACTATTCGTAAAAATCCTTTAGGTGATCCCGCCAGCTTAGAAAACGTACTTCATAGAAACAAACCACCCTGTGTTCACTGAGCACTGCAGGTGAAGAAAGGCCTCCCGCGGCTTGCTCTTGTAAGCTTTCGCGGTTGTAGAGGCACTTCGACTCTATCCCACGATCCCGCTTGCACTCGAAACTAAGATGGGTTATCCCATGAATGCGATCTCCGAGATTTACATCGCACTAAAAATAGCTCATGTAAAGAGCTTGGCGGAGGCGTTGCACCGTCTCCAAAAGAGCGCCTCACCTATACGGACTCGTGGGACAAGATCGTGATATGGAATCAGATGGCACAGAATGCTTTCTTACGAAGATGTCACGATTATGACCCAACCCCTTTCTACTTTTGACCATGTTTTTATCTAGCGTGGTCACGACTTAGTCGAATAAACCACAGACAATAAATGTATCGGTACGTTAGATGATAATATGATTCTCTTCATTAAATATGATGTCTCGCCTGCCTATGGCAATGGCGCGATGCTTTCCCATATACTTGTAGCGTCGCGCACCCTTTCCATGACAATAATATGATTAATATGAGATTGCAATTTGCAACGAAGTATAACCGAGCTTTTATCAACAAGTTGATTGTATAAACAGCCCTACATCATCAATACTGAAGTCACTTTGTAGCATGAATGAGAGCATTTTTCAAATTAGGGTATAGCCTGTAACGCCATGTCCTGCGTCAATCAACAAATATAGTCAGCGGGATCAATTCGCTTCAGCACCGAGAAAATTCCGCGCAAGTTCTATGGAGGATATTTCTATCACGCAATATCGCCCGTTCCGTTTTCCTGTTGTTGGTGGATAACTAGTGATTGGCATGCCTCTTCTGGATTTTAGCATAACGTATAAAGTCTGGGAAGACTTTGCTGTAGATTGCAGAACTCTATCCGGCTTAGTGGCCATCAGAAAGCCATATCGGCAAAACACTTTGTCGAGAAAAAGCTTGGTTGTATCAAGTACTAGTATTAGCGGCGACGTGACCTATCCTGCTCAGACAGTCTACAAAGATGAAATCCCGAACGCCTTATCGTAGATACAAAAAAACTCCATACACATTGCCATAATCGGCAGGCTGACTAAGGGTGCCACCGCTTGTGGCGAAAATTCGCCAGTTTATACGTGTCACACGTGCCTATATATTTGTTCACCGAATGTTACCAATATATTGAACCTACTTAGTAGTGTTTTGCTGCCGAAGCGACCGACTGATAGGTTTCATGCGTGTCAGGATTCTACACGTGAAATTTAACCGTCAGGCACCACTACACGCTGAATGTCAAATGAGTCAGTGCCTGAGTAAATCATTCCTTACGTCAAGAAATAGCGGTTCAAATTGACAACCGCACGATTCGATAAGCGACGTCAAGATCTTCAAACTACTTCCCATTCAAATCTTTCAGCAGCATGACACATGTTGCATCCGACCCGTGCAGTCTACGTATCGCCTTTCAACTCGGAGACGTTGTCATCGTAACGTTCGATTACTCATAGCCGGGGCGACGCAAGTGCGCATCAGCCACTGCATAAAAGCGTTCAGAAAATTTCTTGCCATAAAGGGTAAACATCTCGCCAGTATCTGTAAGAAAAATGTGGTGACGACGTTGTTATGCGCAACGACAAAAGGTTTTTATATATCAAAAAACCGCTTAGGGTCAAGTGGGGGCCATGAACTAAACGAAGGCATAATTCATTGCACGTAGCTTATTTTCAGGAACTGGTTACTTCATTACAGCAGCTTTGAGTGAGTGAGGCCTGCGAGCAACAACGTATTCATGACCGTCGTCACATGCTTGGGGTAAAACACCAGGGTGCAAGTCAGGCTTTCCTTCAGAGCCTTAAATGCCGCCTGTACTATCATGTCCCAACATTAATGAAGATCCTGATCTAGATTATGTCGGCGTAGTTATCCAAGGAGCTGACCAGATAAGGCCATTTATGAGATACACTTAGACTGGGGCCCAGGCCAATTTACACGGCCTTTATATATTCCTACCTTTGCGAGCCGCAGGTCATAGGTCATGACGCAATATAGATCGAATACTTGTCGGTGCTAAAGACACACCTGTTGATAGCGAGGAATCTCTTATTAAGCGACGCTTGATCGCCCGATAACACAGTTGTTCAGGCCTTATTGTGACTACGCACAAATTTATCTCAACGAGATAACGTCCATTGTGTGCAGAGCACGGAACGTCGAATGTGGTAAACCGCATTAGCCTCTTGCAAGCAGTGCTCGAGTGTACCATCAGGCAGTCCCTTCAGCTTCAACAGCAACTCCAAGCGCATCCCGATCGGCGTTCCACCGTGCTAAGAGGGATAACGCTGTCTATCAAGGGCTGTTGATAATGTCCCTCAGTAACGTCAAAGGCACTGAGCAAGGTGCAACTGGCCCTGCTGTAGTATAGCGAATCATTCGTTAAATTGGTGCTAGAATTGCTTATAAACGCATCTAGCTTAAAACACTTGTCACTTGCCGTCGGCCTTTCTGACACAGAAATTGGCGCCGAGTATGGATATTCACTTTCTCTAGTCCGGCGTAATCGATCGCTTCGTTTCTTTGTCTAACCCGGAAACTGCGGTCTAATGCCGCTTCTGTTTTCCGAGCTCTGATCAAGGCTTCGTAGCTATCCAGTTTGGAAAGTGCCGAGTCTTACACGAAAGTATGTGCCTACTCCAAAAGCACTACCGCTTCCTGCAAAGGCTAATTCATCTCTAGCCAAAGCTCCACAAAGGGAGAAAGGCAAGGAACCTTAATCGTCCAATACTCATGGCGCTCCAGCAACGCTTTACCCAGTTGAGTTGATGTTTTGTATTTGAAACTAGGGCAAAATTACGTTACTCGTCGTTATCGCTTGTGCCTCACTTCGATCACATGATCTTCGCCTTTATCGCAAGACTCACATTTATATAATTCATATCTGATATCTTCGATGTTTCAGCATATTTTCCACTGTTTGTGTCAATCGCACGTCGAACGTAATTGCACGACTCCCCCGAATTTTTAAGTGCAGCACAAAACCCAGAATTTGAATGTCCACAGTTTGTGAGATTCGCCGCGGATAAAAAGTCGCTCTTTTGTGATCAGGTGGTCATGAGCTTAATGCACTTTAGCGCAAGTGTCTCCCTGTAAGCCGTCCTTGGCAATCGAGTAGCTCCACAGTACTCACTGGATTTCAACTGTGATATTACAGAACAACTGTGTCTGTGCGCCTCTTTAGCTCTCTGATGAGAGGTACAAAAGGTCGGGCCCCATGCAAAGGTAGGTGGTGATCCCCTCACAGTGAAATTTGAGTTCCGACAGGCTTAGAAATATATCTCTTTCTTTTACCAATTCATTACCTTCGGTGTACTTTTAATATATGTTTAGTGTGCACCATTATGCCGTCGCGCCACAGAAATTGTGCTCCGCAATTACTGCACACCCACCGAGCCGCACTGGCTCGAAGACCCCCCACTTAGATTATTTTCGTCTTCGATAGAGGTTCTGATGTCATTGCAGCGATACGAATTCTCAACTCATATACTTACTTAATCCTGCTCTTGACGGGTAGACAAGAACTGGGAGCGCGCGTGTTATGATTGGTTAGGCGGTGCAAGCACCCACGACATTTGTATCTGCGAGTATCTGAAATGATCACTAACTGCTCGTTAAAACTCAACCTCGCACGTACCCCTAACTTAAGTACGATGAGGTACTGCTCTGTTCTGCGTGGTCAAATTCATAATCTTATTAGCTTTTCTCATCCATAGAAATAAATTTTCTTTGCCCTGGCCGGACATTCGGCTTAAGTGGCTTCTCATTAAGTGCCATCAATGCCCCTCCCACCGACGCTTACTTGGGGCATTCCTGGAGGCATTTCACCGTCGCATTTCCCTAGCTATGAGTGCATCCGGTTCTGCCCCTGAACCGCCGGTCTCTTTACCCCTTCGAGACCGACAACAGACCTAAGCTTTTCATGCGTGTCTGATTGTTAGAATGACAGGTAGTAGTTCAACTCGTGTTTCATTCTCACGGATGATATGGTCCTTTCACGAGTCGGTCGTGAAACCAATCATTTGTATTACCAAGTGCAACGGGATCACCGTGCACATTGCATAGAGAGAGCTTAAACTGAAAGAATTCGCGTTAGCTATCGCTTACAAGTTGAGTTCGTACTAATCACCCAGCAGCGGAATCAAAATCTTCTTAAACAATCTTACTTTTTGAGAGCTTCATATGTTTACCTTCTATGGTGACTAATACAAAATTATACATCTCACTAAATTCAATTATGAAACTATCTTTACTGCTTGATATCATCGTTTGGACCAGTTTTTCGGTATTTCCGACGATTTGCAATCATTTAAAACTGTACAATGTTGTGATTTGCGTACGTACACCTTACGCTTCCGTAAGCAAATATTTCAATCACTGAAAAACATTTCAATCTGTCAAGAGGACACGTCATGAATCCAGGTACTTCTGCCATCGTTAAATCTTCTTTGTCTTTTCGTTGAAAATCAACTAATTCACCTGATGAGAGTACGAAACGTTGATTAGAGACAAGTGAGAGGTCTGTCAATAGCAATAGAAAACCTACGTTTATCACATACCTATACAGCTCGAGGACAATTATATTTTTATTAACATAGGTACATCACTGCTAGCCAACATTCTGTCAAACAGGAAACCTCATCGATTCAAGTGCCACGGTAGTCAGCAGCCCCAACCACTCTGTTGATGGCGTCCAGAGATATATATAGGAGACGAGGCCTATTGCCTGGCTTCATTTCCTCGGCGTCAGTTTGACGGTTTTCTCCTCCACTTTTGGTTACTTCTTTCTCGACAGTCCGCTTGGTTGGGTAATTCCCTCACTTTCAATCTTCGACTTAAGAATTCTTTCCTCTATTTCTTAGTTATACAATGCAATCATGGTCGGGCGGCCGCCGCGAGCGTTCGTCAAGTGTCGTTCTGCTGGGCAAGTTATCGGCTATAGTGCGGCGTGGCAGTGTGCTTCATGTAGACCCGGAGGACGCATGCAGCCACAGTAATAGCAGCAGCAATAATAGTGAGGATAAGGAAGTGAATGATGAAATGACGAGACGTCGACACACGCGGCGCCGCAGTGTTGGGGCAACACCTTCAATGCAATCGAGCATTCATTCGAAGAAATCAAAGAATTTTGGCCGAAACTCCAATCAACGGCTTCAGTTTTACCCAGCGCGGCCTGTGGTAGTGGCAGCGCTGGCTATGCCGCTTAGTCTGGCGGAGCTTATGAGGCGAGCTACGCTGGAAAGCCAATTGAATGCATTTGGAGCTATGCACGTAAGATTTGCACCCTCGCAAAGGCCACAAGATGATCTGGAAGAAAAGGGGGTGCTGGTTGAAGAAGAGATAAAAAAAAATGGTAACGACATGGATAATAATGAGCGGGAGAATCTTGAAGAGGAGGAACGGCGTGCGACGCTTCTCGCCGTGGATGAGGAGTTGGAAGATGAAGAGGTTTACCAAGTACATGCAGACCACGAAGAGTCGCTGGATTTTGATGCGAAGAATATGCCGACGAGCGTGAAGAAACTCATGGACCGGATCAAGAGCGAAAGCTTGGTAGACGAGGCTGATGAGCCTTTCGGTAACGCATCGGATACGTCGAATCAAGACGACGATGAATCTAGTGTGTCAAACGAAGACGACATTCATCACATCGACGATGTGGAGAAACTTAACTTAGACAATAACGATGAGTTAAATGAGGAGAGAGTAAGCAGCCAGCTTAAAGAGACAACTTATCAGGGTCACCAAGATTCAAAGCTTAGTTGTCATGACCTAGATCAAGTGGCTATGTCAACTCAAGATCAACTTACGGCGAGTGTGAGGCGTCTCGTGATTCAGCTGAAAGACGATTCAGATTACATGAACAAACCCATGGCTCAGTCGCATGGGACTCGTTCGAAGTCGAAATCTTTGACACGGAGAAGAGCTGGATCATGCCCGACGGCATATGATCTTGGTGTTCGGTCTCCAATCGGCAGATCTCCAGTACCCATACCACCCTGCCTGAGCCCGCCTCTCAATACCCGCGAGGTTGTATCTGGAAAAAAACACCGAAAGAATGCGTTCCTGAGATTTGGTCCGCGTATGTTGGAGACGCTCCATTTGCGTAAAAAACGTAAAACGTACCTGTTCACGGATGAGGAGCTAGAGACGATCGAAGGTGCCCGGTGGAAGATTGTTGAGCTGGCTTTTCGCTTCGGTGGCAAACACAGGTCATACTTGGTTCAGGCGATTAACATGTTTTTTCCTTTGCTCAAATATGGAAGGCGAGGTGGTGCGCACACCACTAGACTCCATTGCAATTGTTGTGGAACTCTGCAGTGGCAACATAAGCGCGGAAGTCTTAGTGAAGCGGTCGATCTAGCGGAAGTTCTTCAAGTGCTGGACGGACGAATGACTCCCGTATTTCGCAAATATGTTAGCAATAATGTCCTTAACGCTTGCTCTTTCTCGGTTGTGTTTCGTGGACGGACATTGGACCTAGAAACTCAGACAACAAGCCATCGGGACTGGCTTGTCAGTGCTTTACGAACACTTATCGCCTACGCTCGGCGTCAACGATCCATCGAGCAGCAGGCCATTGCTGAGAGGACAAAACTGCCTTTGGAAGACGAGGTATCGCTCAATTCATTTCCTACCGCTCCTAAACGCGAACGTTCAACGTTTTTGCTATCCCCCGTGGCGGCTCAGCCGATGTGACAACATGTGTTAATACAACAAATATGCGTTTCAGCTGCAGCGTTCGAAGTGTATACTAAATAATTGAGCAATCCTTACCTAAGCACATAAATCAGGAATCGAATAGGAAACCTTTGTAACTTAGATGAGATTTGATTAATACGACGCAGTAGAGTTACACTTTGGCGAGTATGCGCTTTAAAAAGTGCGAGTTGACGAGGCAACATTCACAGCACGCTTCACTTCGTTAAGCTGTACAATTAAACTAGTTCGGCTTGAAATTGTGTCTGGTGACAAGCGTAAGTATCGCTTCAGGATATTAATGGACGAGATCACCTCCTCATGTCGCGGACAGGATTCATCGGCGACATCTTCAAGACTTTCGTATGTATCATCTGTATGGCTGCTATCGAGTCTCAATGAAGATAAATACCCATGCTTTTGAAGAACGCCGCGAATGATCTGAACTTCATCGATTCCTGGATCGGTCACAGAAGCATTGCCTTCAAGATCTACAAACGCCTGAGCATTCGAAGGGTCACTGACGCCTATCCAGCGGAGAATGTCAGGAGCAACGTGGGCGATATTGGTTAACAGCTGCTGCAGCTCGGTGTAATGTGGCACTGCAGATGGCACGCCTCCATTAGATGATACCGGGAAGCCAGCACTATTGGTCAAACTGGATCCAATAATACCATTTGCTTCTGAAGTTGCACTGCCGTTGCTCCTGTCGGTATTGCTGATAACCTTATTTGAAACTGCATTAAATGGGGAGCTATTGGTGCTGCTGTGACTAAGAACAAGTCGCAAATTAAGAGATGCAATTGCTTGTGTGGGCAGTAAGCCACTACGAACCCAGCAACTTTGTATAAGATGTTTGTTAAGGCTGTGTAAAGCCACACAAAACCAATGAAAAACGTTGCGCGTATGCAAATGGCGTTGCGGGTGAAATCCGCGTGAATTTGGAGTCATTAAGCTCAAACGATAATTATTAAAAAGCGTTTCCACCATCTCACATCGGAAAATCGTCTTGAAAGCTTGAATTACCCCAAGATGGCACGGGTGAAAACGCAAAGTCTTGAAATTTGGTGGCAAAAAGTAAATTTGAAGGTGATCGTACACAAAGAACGTACGTTGGTCTCCTTGAGAATCCAGAATCATAGCAGCTTTTACGTGAGGGACGGCCGAGTCTAGAACCACTCGAAACGTGCGCTTGCGTGCTCTTGCAAGCGCATTTAGCGATTTAAGCATACTCACAGTCGTCTGGGCCACCTGCCAACCTGACTTCGAGTATCCGTACTGAATACTGTACGTCTTCTTCGTGTCAATTCCTCCCAACATCAAGGGTTTATGGTTTGTACCTATCACTTGCAAATCATGTTTTTCTCCTGCAGCACTCACAAACAGTGACACTGTAAATCTGCCGTTGCTTTTACCATTTCCACTGGCCGCATTGGGGTGATACACCACGGCAAACTCACTGCCCGTCCAGATATCATCCAGTTCCGCACCGCTAAAGGCATGGTGCAATTCTCTCAGTCTTGTCTGGATGTCCACACTCTTGATTACACTCTGGTCGCCTCCTGAAGGAAGTTGCTTGCTACTAAACGATCCGAATCGAGTCCTATACCCATCTAACCAGCCATTCGATCCTGTAAACTTTTGCAATGCGTGTTTCACTTTGTCAGGTAATGCTGCATATGGCTCTTGAACAAGTTTACAAGCCATTTCCATAGCCTTATGCTGTAGTACAGTGCCCGTGAGCTTAGTATCAGGGCTTGACACTTTCACCTCCATTCGCCATTTGTGCAAACACTCGTCGAGAACTCGCAGATCGTACGTGCACTTTGTCGTTTTTCGCTTCTTTTTAGTCGCGTCAGCCGAGTCCGTCTCGGTACGAATGAGGTCTTCTTGTCTGCAGATGTTGGTTATGGTAGTACGCCCTACGCAAAACTTTTCAGCCAACTCGCGGTGTGTAAATTTTTTACTTGCGGCCAAATCTACCACCTCACGCTTCTGACCAAGTGTCAATCGCATGCGACGACCGATAGGTAACCCTGATGTGCTGGCTGTGCCAGTGCGGACAAAACCATCACTCTCCTGAGGAGAATAGTCCGGAAGCTCTGATGTAAATTCGGCTGAATCAGAAGCTTTATGAAGCGGCGTGGGTTGAATTTGGGGCTGTTGCTGTTGATTCTGCTCTACTGGTGCCCGTAAATGGTTGCGCCCTGCGTCCCTCAAGACGCTGGAGTCCTCAGCCATGAGAATCACAAAAAAGAGGGGGCAGTACTTTTGTTTTTGACTTGGTTATAAAAGCGAGGAGAATGCTCAGTTCATCAGTTCAGGCGGCCTTTGAACTCTTTGACGATGATAGTAGTGAAGATGAGACGTCGACGCCATCTGTGAAGCCGCATGAGATCTTACCTACTATCTCCGTGGCTGCAACGCCATTGTCCATGGTGAAGGAGATGCAGGCTATTACAACTGAAAATACACGCATTTTATCGAAGCCATGGGATGACGTTCAAGCACTAGTGGTGGGACCAATTGATCTGGTCATGAATGTTAATGGTGTGGGTGGATCGCGCGGCTATGTGGCTATGGAAGACTTGAAACCGGGCACATTGGTGCTGGTAGAGCAGGTCTACTTGCCTTGGCCTAGCGATTTGGACAATGCAGATCCCGATTTTTTTCTTGCCACGATGGAGTCCGTGCTGTCGCAGCCAGACTATGCTACAATCATGAATCACTTGAGTCATCTGTATCCTGAGAAGCTCAACGAGCTGCCAGAAGAATTGCTCGCCGCTGGCAAATTGAAATACGGCGTGCAGGTGGATGAGCTTTGCCGTAATTTTAGCGAGCTAGCGCTTTCGCACGAGCAGATGCTGCAGAATATATTTGCTATGCAGTGCAACGCTTTTGACAGCGGGGTGTTCTTATTGAACGCCATGTTTAATCACGATTGTAATCCAAACTGTGTCAAGTTCACGCCTGAAAATGCTGGTTCGGAAGCTGGACTGTCTGAAGTGCGAGTCGTGCAATCCATCAATAAAGGTGAGCAGCTTACTATCTCGTACTTGTACCCTCGTGAGCAATGTCGCGAGAAGAGACAAGAACATTTGTGGAAACAATTCGGTTTTAAATGCTGCTGTGAGCTCTGTCGTCGAGGCGACAGTGTGCTTCCTGTGCCATCTCTTGGTACTGATAAGGCTTTAAAGCCTAGCGTAGTGGACTTAGAGATTATTTTGGTTAATGCGGAAGATATTCTAAGAAGGAAACCTGGGGAAGCTGCTGACGCACTTTCTGTGGCATTAGAGACGTTGTCTGATGCACTGGAGATCGTGTCGCATGACCACATAATATACATGCGCATTCACAAACTAGTGGCAGATTCTTGCGATTTGCTGCTGCGCATGGAGACTGGGCGTGTATGCGAGTACTCGATCCTATTCCTTCGCAGCAGTTATGAGCTGCTCGAGCTTCAGCGAGCGTATTTAAAATCTGACCACATTGACCTGGCGCGGACGCTAAACGATGTTAGCCAAGGTATCCAGCTATTGCTGTCATACGACCCAAAGGTATTGTTTATTGAATTTCCGGAGTGGAGAGACTTCCGTCAAGCCTCAATTGTTGAAAACCAGTATCGCCAAGAGTATAGAAGGTTGAAGCAGATGTACGAATAGAAGCTTCCTAAAAACTGATAGAAGGCAAACAGCAATTCAAGAGCCAGAAATTCTACCATTTTGCATTTGCTGATTGCGTATCGTGTGTTCATCAACGCATTCTTTCATCGTTACAAAACATTCCAATTCTCTTGCTTTGCAAAGTCCATTTACAGATGAAGCTTGCTCAATTCCACATTTAAATTTCCCAATTTCCACAGGACCACACGACCGTCAAGAGCTTTATCAACCAGAACACAAAAGATTTGTTAGCAACACAAACATAAATCACCGCAGTGTGCTACCATTGAGAAAGCATACCCGAAGTCGAAAATTCCGTGACGGTGCCGGACGCAGATTTGGCGTAAGGTTGGATGCATGTGATGTTGCTTTCGTGTTTCCTGTGATGTAAAGGGCAAAGTGTAAGTACTGAACAATACTGGCTATGCACCAACAAAAAGAATAATCAATCTTACATCCATAGCATATTTTTATCTTGCTGGGTAGCATCGGACGACTGGCCTCTCGTTACTTTGCTCTCGAAAAGGCTCCGAGCTAGAATTAATACAGTCAGGATTTACATAAGTTAATGGGCCGAGAAAATAAAGTCTTACCAGCACTAAATCCAACCGTGCTTCTCTTGACCGAGCTTTCCGTCGATTTCTTGTCGACAAACTCAGAAAACGACCTATTCAGCAAAACAAGCGCTTTGACTAATTTTCCACTACTTAAAATCAATAAAGTATTTTGATTTGCGATCAAGTACCAGAAATTATTGGCATCCTGAGCAAATAGCATTGGATTGAAGTCGTAGCCCACTCCAACAATCGCAGAGTTGGACAGAAACATAATGCGCATAAGAGGCAGGTGCGAAAAACGGATCGACTGCGTCAATTAGTCGCAATTTAAAGCCCAGCATCATTAGTATACGCTGATACGCGATTCTTGAAATTAATTAGTACCTGAATTGTTGGGTATTCGCCAGGTGCACCGAAGTGAACTATATGAATAGACGATCCCTGGCCTGCAAACGCCAAGCAATTTCCCTTAGGAGACCATGCCACGGCGTTCACCCACGCGTTGGCATTGTCAAACTCAGCGAGGGGCTCACCGAATGGCGGCAAAGCTTCAAATGGACCTGCATCTGGTGGTCCATCAATATCGTTAATGTGTGCTGAGAGCACGCGGCACTTTAGGTCCGTGCTTGCTGTTACCAGTAGCTGGCTGTTTGGATGCCAGTCTAGGTCGGTGACCCTATCAAATTGCGCCACATCAGTCCTTGTTCTGCTTAACCTTGCCAATCATATTTCATCAAGCCTACGTACGTGGATTTGTGTTTCTTGATGATCTTGCTAACCCACCAGTTCTCAGCCGCCTGGTAATAGCAAACTGAGACGCACTTGGCACCGCTGCTTACCGCAAATTTCTTGCCTAAAGATTATTGTTAATACTCAAGCAGCTTTCATTCAGCCTATGATTTTACCATCGGGACTCCACTTGACGTTTGTGGCAGCACGCGTGATCCGCAGCACGACAAGCAGTGGTTTCCACTGTCGGTAGGTCGCTTCGTACTTCCAGACAAATGCGCTTCGGTCGTGTGAGCATGACACGATCTGGTCGTGGACGGGCGACCAGTCCAGACCGCACACAAGCATGTCGTGCTCCTTGAGTACAGCCTCCTTACGCCATTTCGTTGGATCAGGAATGTGACAGCCTGAGTAGATCCAAATTTCGTTTGTGTTCGGGCAGATTGCTAACTTGGAGTGATCCTTGTTCCAAGCGTGGCACGAAATGCCATCCGCTAGCTGAAAGAGATTCGCGTCGCCCCCTGCTACCATTCTGAGTACAGCTGACTTCTTAATGTCGTTAGACATCTCAATACATCATAGTGATGTGTCCCACTTTACATACGTTAATACTTGTTAAAAATCGCACGGAAGCGATTATCTTGGTGCTCCTGGACGAAGGACCCGAATGGAGTCGCCAGATAGTTCCATAGTCTCTCGTAAGACTTGTTATGCAGAAGAAATGCTTCTCGAGGCTTATAATTTGGAGGTGCGTGTGTATATATTTTGCTGCGGAGTGGTCAGAGTCCAATCGATAGCTTTGTGATACATAGTGGGAAGCAATTGAGCTACGAAGACAGAGACTAAAAAAATCTTGGCAGCAGCTTTTATTGATGGAGCAAATGGAAAATGAGGAGCTGCAGTACAATAGATGTTTGCGAAAACTAAAGCGCCAAGAGCAGGAGAGGCGAGCACGTCAGCAGATAGAGCGTGAACATGATGAGGCGCGACGTCGTGAGCGGGAAAAAGAGGTAATGATATGTCTAAAGCGTGAGCAAGAGAAAGCAGAACGGCTCAAGAATGAAATGATGATCGCAGTTGGCAAAAGCCAGACAGACATGCCGAGCAGAAAGAAGAAGACTAAGGCTACTGACCCTTCCGATATGAAGACTGAAGTGGAGTCAGAGATGGCCCAGACAACGAAAACAGCACAGATCAAACGAATAACTCCTATCAGTATGCAGCACAAAGACGATGACCTGGATTCAGTCCAAAAACAAAATAATCGTAATGGGAATGAAAGCCCACCGCCAGAGTTACCAGACAATGGTCTGCTTGATTTGCTGTCACTAAACAAGGCTAGTGATTCGGAAGAGGATGATGACTCGCCTTCTATGGTGAATTTGATTCTACCAGTCCAACACGAGTCGCCTAAACGAGCGCAACTATCGCCGAAGAAGAAAAAGAAAGTGACACCACAGAAGCGATTGGCACGGCGACCAGGAGAACCATCATTAGATTTTGATTTTACAAATGTCGAAGAAAGACAACAGATGAAGGCGATTGAATCTGGAGCCCAAGATAGCGACGAAGAGAGAGCTGAAGCTGAGAGTGAGCCTGAGCCACAATCCGCAGTGCCTGTGCCCCCTTCAAAGAAACATTTAAGACGGCGGAAGGAGTATAAAGTAAATGTTTCGGTAGACAAGGTGTCAAAGCCGGCTAACGCACTTGCATTAACAGCCAAATCGAAGCTAGTTAAAGCAAACTCTACAATCGCAGGAGCTGATAAGAATGCCGCAGGTAAGAACGTGAAGCGAATTATCAGCAGAGAACTGCCAGCGCAGACCACGAATTTAGCAAAAGGAGATGGAGATCTTACAACCCGATTATCGAAGAAAGTTAATGAAAAGGGTGAGACGATGTCAATCAAACAACGACTAGCAAATGCTGAGCTCCTCTCTCGAATCAGCAAGATGCAAGAGATTACTACCCCGAAGGTCTTGGGCAGGAAATCTAATAAGATTCAGAAGCAAGAAGTGCCAAAGACAGCGGCCGATAAACGGGAAGACTTCCGCAAGGTTGTAAAAAATCCAGCAGAGCGTAATATCAACCAACGCGACCAAATGGTTGAAGACGGAGATTTGAACATCAGCTTGAACAGTAGTGGACTCATTAGTGATGCTGACGTTCCAGAAAATTTGCGTGATTCATCTCGAAAGAGAATGCGGGGTGCAGTGGAAGATGACATGACGCCCACTAAAAAGCTGCAATTTCAAGAGATTACAAAGCGTTTAGTTAAGTCTCCAATGCCACGCTATTTAAGGACTCCAACCCCATTACTCTCCCCCATGGCATCAAGTCATATGAAGCCGAAAGCTGCATCACCTGGACCTCGTCTCGCGAATGCTCGCGACCCAATCAATACACGTCGACTCAATTCAGCTCCTGTTCAGTCCCGAAAAGCCACGGATGCTAACAGGTTTGGCATTCCAGGAGGTGGTGCAAAGACGGCTGCAAATGGAAATTCTTTCTCTATGTTTGATGCGTTTGTGAATAGCGGTAGTAATGGCTTCATTCCCAAGCTAAAAATGAAAAATCGAGACGTATCACCGTCTGTATAGAGGTGCTCAAAGTGTAACATACTGGATTGATTGTAAGGTCTAACATGCGTTTGTAATCTTCATGCAAACTGGTGTATCTGTTTCATGCACTCGGAGATGGAGGTCGTAAATTTTCGATACACCAGGTCACGCAAGCGCAATTTTAAATGTCAAGCGTGCCAGCGTGAAGTTGATTGATCGCATCAATTGAGTCGATGTAGTAGTCAGGCACGTGAAGAGGGTTCACGATGCTGCCCAGTTCCGATTCATGGGTGATTCCAGTCAGAACCAGCAACGTAGACAAGCCCCCGGCATTACCGAACTCTATATCCGTCGACAGACGATCACCCACCTACATGCAATGTTAGGACACTTTAAATTAAATATATCAAAGTTGATAATGTCACACCATGCATGTGCGTGCAGGATCCAGATTATACGTAGCAATGATTGTCTGCAGAAGATCTTGCGAAGGCTTGCCACACACAGCCTCAGGAGGGCTTTATATGCATAAAAGTGCAGCATACCATTAGGATGACAATTACTTGATCGCCATAATCAGACATCACGTACTGGCCAATAGCGCATTCAAGCATACGAACTAAGGAGCCTCCTCCCGGAACTATGGCCCCATCTGCTGGATATGTGGAATCCCTGCCCAATTAGTATGTGTTAAAGTACTGGTCAGGACCATGAATCGTAAAAGCGCGATTTTACGGATTAGTGCCGATAAAGCGACAGCCAGGGATTTGGCGGACACACGCTGTTGCATATGCCATCTTGAAGTACGAGAGGTATCTACAGAGTGTATAAATCAGCATAATTGATCGTAGGATTGCATTTATTTTCAGTGTCAAACCTGTCCAGACCGCAGACAACCGCCTTTGTTTCCAAATCGATGACCGGTACGTGAGGAAAGCCCTTGATGTCACTGTGTTCCATACCGCTGACTTGGTAGCCCTCCAGTTCTAGCTCTGATTTGAGACCAGCCTCTCCAATAATATAGATCTTGCCTTCGATATTTTGCAGCTTCATATACTGCGCAGTAGCCCACGCCGAGCTATGAAAGATCATAGTCGTCAACAAGCTAACAAGGAGATTATTTAGACTGCCTGACTCACGTGACAATGTCACTTTCGACAGCAGTGATACCCTGAGATGCTGCAAAGTTTACAAAGTCCAATTAAGTCTCAAAAACCTACAGCTTCAAAAAGTACTTTACCAAGTTTCTTCACGTATGTCGCTCGGCTACTAGTGGCGTTGTTAGTCTAGATCGAGAGGTAGGAGATGATCAGTCACAACATATATGACTGTAATGCTTTATACTTACCACAAAGACGACGCGCTTGTTGAGTGAGCGCAAGAGGTCGATCACGACTGCAGCGCCTTGGATCGGAGTAGCTCCTCGCCACAATACTATTATGGAACAGTCAGCATCTTACTATCTATCACAAAGTCGGAATCTAATGCAAAGCGATGAAACCTCCATCGCAATCAAATAGGAAGGCGTCGAGACCCTGAATCCATTGCAAATAAGACTCGCGGTTCAAGCGCTGAGTCTCAGCAGTCATAATTGATGGTAGATCAGGTTTCTATATTACAGCTCCCTTTTCATTTTATATCAAGTGATACTAATAGTATCACACCA